GAGCTTCAGCTGCCTCACCAGGATCATGTCGGGGATGAATTAGCTTGCACCCAAGGTCCCTCCCAGTTCTAACATTCCCACTTTTATGTCCATTAGGGATGTACTTCCTGATAGAGTAAGATTAGAAAAGGGAATCCATAGTTTAGGTCAGAATGACCTCAAGGTGTGCTTTAAAGAAGGGAACAATATTTGCATTCATAATGATTATTTGTCTTAAAGAAGTCATGCCAGTTTTTTTTTTTCAACTAACTTTACTAAGCACTCATGTTTTATGTCCAGGCTTTCTCCCCACCCCTCCCGTCCTCCCTTTTTCTCTGTTTCCCTTCCCTTCCTCTGTTTCTGAGACTCCAATCTATCTGTTTCATCCTGCCTCCGGAATGGCACTGTCTCAGCCTCTTCTTTTTCTCTTCATACCTTCCAGAGATCAGAAGGTGTTTTCTATAAAGGGCCAGATAGGAACTACTTCAGGCCTCATGGGCCCTATGGTCCCCATGACATATTCTTTGTTTTTTTGTTTCTTTGTATGTTGCTGTTGTTTTAAATCCTTTCCAATGTAAAAGCCATTCTTAGATGAGCACTTCCATTCTGTGTGGTTTTCTCCTCTCAACCTGTGGGTTCTCCCTGGGCCATTCCACCAAGGCCGGCACTCCAATACCCACCTGTAACCCAACAGCCTAAATAAATAGTGATGTCCTTTAAGTTCCATCTTTCCAAGAGAAAGGCATTAAGGATCCCCCACTTTGTGCATTCTAAGAAAAATTGTAGTTGTGCAAAAGAAAAAGGGCAAAGTATATGAACAGATGATTTACAAAATAATAAATGTTGATGGCTTTTAAACACACTAAAATTCTTAGCCTCATACACGATAAAAGAAATGCAAAGTAAAACCACAATGAGATATGGTTTTTTTTGACCTTACAGAATAACAAAAATGCATGATAACATAAGGTGTTGATAAGGTATTGAAGAAATAAGCATCATCCTTCTGGGTGGACAATTTAGCAATATGGATCAAAATTTAAAGGCACATATGTTCTGACCCAGTAGGTCCAATTTTAAATGATTATATGAGAAAGGCAGAATGGAGAATACAAGTGTAGTATGTTACTACTTGTATTAATAAGGCATAGGGAAAATATATGCATATGCAATAGACTGTTAAGAGTGATTAGGGTGAGGCAGAAACTAGAGTGCTGAGTGGCAAGGGTGGGTAGAAACTTATTTTTTCACTGTGTATCTTTTTTTATTGTTAGAATATTTTTATCTTGTGCATATGTATTTTACCAAAAATATTAACATTAATACATGTATAGATGATTGATAGATAGATAGATAGATAATAGAAGAATCTTATAAACAAACAAACAAAAAAGGAATAGTAGAGACAGAAGGGACCTTGCCCTAGCACCATGGTTGGCAAACTGTGGCTCGTTGGGCCACATGCGGCTCTTTGGCCCCTTTAGTGTGGCTCTTCCTAAGCCTTAGGAGTACCCTAATTAAGTTAATAACAATGTACCTACCTATATAGTTTAAGTTTAAAAAATTTGGCTCTCAAAAGAAATTTCAATCGTTGTACTGTTGATATTTGGCTCTGTTGACTAATGAGTTTGCCGACCACTGACCTAAAGTAACCACAAAGGATGGTATGAAATTAAACTTTAACTGAAAGCAGTTATGGTGAATAATTATGTCCTAGGCCCATATCTTCACTGACAAGGTCAATCTATACCTTAACTGAGCCTATTGTCTTTTTGCATCTAAGATAACAAACCTATGAAACGTCTGAATAACTTGTAACTTCCCTTTTTCCAGACCCCCTGGGGCACAACCTAATGTGCCTGGGTGCCAGGACAGATACCACAAATTCCTTCACTGTTATCATGTTAATTGTTGACTTTTAACTATCATGTACCCACCTAAGTAATGTGTCTATTATTTAACTTTTTATGGAATCCCAGAGGTTTCCCAACCTTGCTTTCTCCCACCTCTCTAATCTATCGCCAATGGATTTCAGGTAACCCACCTATGTCTCCTCCTTTGATTGCAATGTATAAAAATAGTTGAAAAACCGACATTCTCTAGAGCATTATCCCAATCCATTGAGATTCTGCTTCCCTGGCAATTGTAGACAGCTGGACTCAAATAAACTCGCAAAATTTCTTTACAGGTTTGAACATTTTTACGTTAACAACTGCATAGCACACTTCCGTGTCAATGGTGGAGTGTAGGGCCGCCCCCCCAACTCGCCCCTCCTCCCAGGGGCGCGCGGCCTGGTCCCGACCACTTAGGATGCGGCCAGTGAGGACGCCGAGTCAGGCCTGACCGGTTCCGCAGCCTCTTGGCCAGCAGCGAGCCTAGGGATGCGTTGCGGGGGGCGGGGATTGTTTACGTCTCGCTCTGGAGCGGAAAGTGGGTCAAGGCCGCTGGCGACGCGTGGCGGAGGAGCGGCTCAGATCCTGTCCACCATGGCCAGGCGCCCGCGGAGCAGCAGAGCATGGCATTTTGTCCGGAGTGCAGCCCACCGAGACGCAGATGACCGGGCCATGGCTCTGGCAGGATGAGGACAGCTGGGGCCTCTCCTACACAGGTATGTGGGGCCCCTAAGGGCAGGCATGCTGGGAGGGGGCCCCAGACATCAGGCTAACCCCTTGCCTCCTGCTGCCCCCTAGGGCTCCTCCACCACAAGGGCGACAAGACAAGCTTCTCCTCGCGGTTCGGCCAGGGCTCCATCATTGGCGTGCACCTGGACACCTGGCATGGGACACTGACCTTCTTTAAGAACAGGAAGTGCATAGGTGAGGGTGTCCAGGATCCCAGGGGAGACAAAGACCTGTGGGGTGTGGCTGCTACTGAGGTCCTGTAGGAAGCAGAGACGGGCCCAGGCTGAGTGGCCCTAAGGCTTCCCAAAAAGATATCCTTGAAGAAAGAAGCCTGAGGTCCCAGGGTCTCCAGAGGGTGGGACAGCACAAGGGCCACCCTAGTTATCTCAGGAGGATGTCCAAAGAATGGCTAAGCCCCCTCCTGGCCCAGGATTCAGGCTGTGCCCCCTCTAGGTGTGGCAGCCACAAAGCTGCAGAACAGGAAGTTCTATCCAATGGTGTGCTCCACCGCGGCCAAGAGCAGCATGAAGGTCATCCGCTCCTGTGCCAGCGCCACCTCCCTACAGTACCTGTGTTGCCACCGCCTGCGCCAGCTACGACCCAACTCTGGGGACACGCTTGAGGGCCTGCCCTTGCCACCTGGCCTCAAGCAGGTGCTACAAAACAAGCTGGGCTGGGTCCTGAGCATGAGCTGTGGCCACCACAAGTCCCCCATGCCCTCACCCAAAGCCACGGTCAGTCCCAACAGCCCAGAGACCCGGCGCTGCCAGAGAAAACGCTGCCGAAGGACCTAACTTATTTTCCAATGAAAACTGCCTCCTGAGGCGAGGACAGCATTTTCTCCATCTTTTCCCTCAGGCCATGCTCCAGAGTAACAGGAGAGGGAGGAGTTGGGCCAAGGTCTGTCTGGGCCGTCCCCCTGCCCTCAGAGGCTAGGTCAGGCCTTGCCGCAAGTTCAGAGGCCGCAGGCCCTGGGATCCTGAGACCAGAACTGAATCCATCTGTTTCCTGTGCGGGGTATGGCAGTGGCTGCTTCTCTCCTTGGAGTCTCTTATGAGTGGCCACACCAGCTCTTCTGGACTGAGTCTGCTGGCCTGGAGGCTGTAGTCTGTGGCCTCATCAGATGTCACCTTTCCTGTAGCTGCCAGCCTTCGGGGACCTTGGGTTTGTCCTCACTTGCTTTGCATGTTGTCAGTTGTTCCTCCTGTCTGAGACTGAAACGATCGTAATAAACTCTGAGTTTATACCTAAAAAAAAACCAAACAAACAAAAAAAATCAACTGCATAGCAATTATTTTCTTTCCTCCAGTTTCCAATAGTATGTTCCCATATCCTTTTGAGCCTTTACTAGTAGCCTTTAATATCATATTTGTATTAACACTGTGTCTAGGGCAGTGGTTCTCAACCTTCCTAATGCCACGACCCTTTAATACAGTTCCTCATGTTATGGTGACCCCCAACCATAAAATTATTTTCATTGCTACTTCATAACTGTAATTTTGCTACTGTTATGAATCATAATGTAAATATCTGATATGCAGGATGTATTTTCATTGTTACAAATTGAACATAATTAAAGCATAGTGATTAATCACAAAAACAATATATAATTATATATGTGTTTTTCGATGGTCTTAGGCGACCCCTGTGAAAGGGTCATTTGACCCCCAAAGGGGTTGCGACCAACAGGTTGAGAAACCTGGTCTAGGGCAATATGGACTTAATCTCATGCCCCTGAAAATCCTTCTGGCCTTTCTCCATGTTTCAAATCAAAACAACTTTCAAATTGTTTAGGTTTTTGTTATGGCAACAGCCCAATTCAAAATACCATCATTTGTGTTAGTGTTCTACTGATGCATAATAAATGCCTATAAATTTAGTTCATTAAACCAATACCAATTTGATATTTCATGGCTTCTGTAATTCATAATAAGATCATGGCATGGCTGGATTTTCTAATCAGATCATCTCCAGGCTAAAACCAAGCTGTTTACTAGAATATGCTCCTCACCTGAAGCTTGGTGACTTCCTCCAATATCACTGTTTTCTTTATTTGTTTTTGTTTTTGCTAGAATTAATTTTCTTATGGTTATGTTAGGGAAAAAATATAATGTTGGGGACTAGCTATACTTATAAGAAATATTAATGATGCTCTGTTAACTGTGATTGCCTTGTTTTTATTAAAGAAAGGACATTCTAACCTGGCTGGGCGTTGTATGCCTGAAGGAGTCAACCTTGGAATGTGGTCCATTCTCATTCAAAAACTGCCTCTTCACATGGAAAGATGAACAAACTTGTTGCCCAAACAATGGAGTTCCACACCAGCCCCCATTGTCTACTTCCCCATGCTGTAATTCCTACTTTGCCATGTAATCTTTGTCCTACCCAATATAAGCAGCTGGTTTATGGGGGGCTGCAGAGCAAATTTTTGTGGATAACCTGCTGCTCTCCCACACTGCCAGCATTATTGGAATAAATGCTCATATATGATTCAACCCTGCCTCTGTTTAATTGGCTCAATTAGTGTCAGACAGTCCTAACCTCTTGGTTGTCTGGTTATATATTCTGGAAATCAAGATGGGACACAACTGGGGGAGTTGTCTTGGGTGAATACCAAGGATCCTGCTTCCTGCCTGGACTGGGGGTTCGAAGGCTGAGGCCTGGACTCTTTTATTTGCAGTGCTGCCAGGAATTTTCCTGTTTTGAGTCCCAGCCACAGCTTCAGCAATCCCTGTGCTCTCATCTAAAACCTAAGTAGAATCAAGTATTCTATATCTCTGTAATGGGGGAAGTCAGTTGTCTGTTGCCCCCCATCTGGGGTGAGCCTGATCAGCTCCTGGTTGCAAGTGGCCTCTCAAGGTCCTTGCCTAGTCTATGCACTTGAGCCTGATCTGCTTAAGGTTGAGACACTGCCCCACTTACGCATTGGAGTCTGGTTATTCTGTCTGTCTGTGCATTGTAAGCCACAAAAGGTTGTCTGCTGTGCACACTTGTAAATATTGTATATTAGTGTGGTTTTGCCTGGTGTAATTTTGTCTATAATCTTGCTTAAATTGTTCAAGGGTGGGTGCTGGTGGCTCAATCCCAAAAGATACTCCATTGGGATGGATCTTGGGGGATTGGGCTATTTATCTGCCAATGGAAAAAAGAAAAAGAAAAATGGTGTTACTACAATACTGCTTGGCCTATGTATGCTTTAGATTCTGGGGAAAAGTGGCCATTAAATGGGTCTTTAAAATATTACACTTTGAATTGTTTTGTCAGAGGTTGGGGAAATGGGAGGGCTGTATGTTTGAGCCTTTATGTCTTTGCTTAATTCTGACGAAAAAGAAAATCAGGAAGGGGCTAAATTGATGATTCAGAGAAAAGATGTGTACTGAGAGAAGTTAGCTTGAAACACAGGCAGATAGGGCAGGGGTACAGTGGAAAACAAAGGCAGGGGTACAGTGGAAAACATTGGCAGAGGCAGACATGGCAGTTTAAACCAGCCTAATCACAGGAACCAACCATGCAGAAATAATAAAATGTTTCTGGACTCAACGTGGGAGGAATGGGAAACCAAGGGAGGGCCTGCAACAATAAGGTGTACTGACACATAGAAACAGAGAAAGTTCAGCATTGAAATAGAGAAAGAACACACAGAAATAAAGTTCAAGTCTATTGCTGGGCAAGAACAATTGAGGGAATCAATTAGGTGACAACACAGACAGATATAGAAGCAGGTTTGTTGCAAATATATACCTGTTGTAGTAATATATACAAATGTTTAAAAATGCTTTGAGGATGCCTGAAAAATGTCTAAGAAGGTTTTAAAATGTTTAAATTAACTTTCCTTGAAACTTAAAGCATGGTAGTAAGAACACATTCCCCACTGCCCTGAAGCATGTGTCCCTCATAGATAAGGATTTGAACGTCAGTAAATAACTCAGAGTGACTTGTCAAAATAACCATTTGAGTGAGTGATGTACTCTCCCTAGATAACCACATGTAGCCCCTTGCCCTGTTTGAGATAAACATGTGTGCATTGACATAATTCATTGATAGCTACCTGGACTGCTGCAAATGGAGTACAGGCTTTACAAGTGTGGGTCCTGACCAGCCTGGTGCTCACCTGTTGAGACAGCCACAAAGGCACATCCTCTTGTCAGTCTGGCAAGCGATGCCGCTCCATGCTCCTCTCTCTGCCAGACAACAGAAGAATGGTCAATACCTCCCAATTGAGATGTGACTGAGCTCTCAGGTTAGGAACGCCGGCCCCCTGCATCTGGACCAGACCAACTGCCGGAGAGCCTGGATAGAACCTGGATAGAACCTGGCTGGAACCTGGCTACCGAACCTGGCTGGAGAACCTAGTGAGAGAACATGGCAACAGAATCTGGCGGGAGAACCTTGCTATGCTGATCAACTGAACGCAGCCTCCATGTCCTTCATTC